ATTAAGACGGCTACCACCATCTATTGAAGGTAGTTTGATTTACTGTGATACGCCCAAGGCGATGCCACGACCATTTTTCCCAAAAAAGTGCGAAAATTTATTTTTAATAACTTGAAAGCTGCCAACAAACTAATTTATGCCAGACACTTGTGGTAATTTACAAAAAAAGGTGAAATCAGAGAGCGTGAGGTTTATCACCAATCAAAGGTTAACCGTCATACGAACTCACCTGTCGGATGCATATTTTTCCCACGTTCATATCGATTTTGTAGGTCTTCTACCACTTTCTGATTGCTTTGATTACATATTTACGTGTATAAACAGACTTACGAGGTTTCCAATAGTCATATCGATAACCGATATCACATCTGAAATATAGGACAAAGCTTTAACTTGGAACTATTCGAACTTTCTTGGTAAACCTATTCAGTAACGACCGATAAAGAAATCTAATTTGAATTTGAGCTGTTTAACAACTTATCTACCAGAATACATTGCACAGTCCATCGTCCTCATGTTTATGGGATGGTAGAATATTTCCATCATCAGTTGAAAGCTGCCTTAATATTACACTCAAACCCGACTCAGTAGACAAAATTCGTTCCTCAATATATGTTGGTAATTAGAACAGCCGTCGAAAGTGATTCCAAGCATTTAGCAGCAGAACTAATCCTCAGGGCAACTCCAAGACTGCCAGACAAGTTTTACTCGTTCAATAAATGATCTATTATATTCATAGCATTTTATAGCGTACAATATTTTATACTAATTTACACTAGTCATACATATATTATATCACTACAACATCACCTCAAATGACAACATACTACTATGAAAAAGTGGTTTAAGGACGAAGTATTTTATATCAAACATAGTTCGCTTGCTAGTGGTCCTCATCGTTGATTTTACATACTTATAAAGGTTATGCAAAAAATCGACGAATGTTTCTGCAACGTAGTTCGAAATGTGATCAGGTAACTCAGATCCACCGGCGTTATTCAAACCATTTTTTAATTGTTTTTAATTGCAGATATTTCCTAAACAATAAACGTGAACACACTCAGCATGCGAAACAGAACTACCTATATTTTCCATAGCAAATGTTAAATCAATTCTATAAGTAGTTATTCAGAATGGTTTTTCGACATCACAAAGTCTTGTTACGATTGCACAATCATATAATATCGATGATCTAAGCAATAATCTGACCGATAACTATTTCTACAAATAGTGCTGTTTTCCTAAAGTTATCTTTGTCAAACACTGATGTTTTCAAAAAAATGTTTTTCTTACCAGTTGGTTCCATAGTAAATGCTATGGAAATTTATCAGTTTAATTAGAGGTTTAGCAATAGTCATTTGTGCAAATTACTAGTGTAGGCAGTCGAGCAGATCTCCTGCAAACTGAAAACATCATTTTAGTATTTACACAAACGTCGACTAAAGGTTCGTGCCAATTAGACAGGAATGGTTTGAGAGTTATATTCCCCCTAGTTAAAAAATATGCTCCATTTGATAATCACATGTCTTACACTCACTCAATTGACTTATTATCATCAAACTAACTGGAGAAGTCGTACAGTGCATCATTTTTAAGGATGGTATTTAAGTTGTATTGAGTTATTACTATATTTTTCTTCCAGGCCAGGTGCACGACATTTTTGCAGGCTAGGTCGATACGTTGTAACATTGGTTTGCTTACAGTGTCTCTCAAGTAGGACTGTTAAATAAATTAAAACAATAAAAAATGGAAGACGGTACATTTGCGCAGACGTCCCAAAGAGTTAATGATTAGGTTTTAGCACCACACTGAGTGCAGATTTTATAATATTTTTCAAAATCCGCATTGCGTCCATATTGCACATTGCGTTCAAAAACAGCATTATTGTGTAAAAATTCCGGTCGGGCTAAGCATTCATGAGATTCAACTTTTTCAGTTCTTAATTATCTTAAAGTGATTTTAAATAGCACTTGGTACGGGCTGTGACCTTGAAGAACGCGTACACCAAGATTGTTTCGGGTGTTTGAAGCTCCACAGCTGTGTCCTCGGAGCGTGATGCTGAAAAAAGGGCTCATTGAATGTACTGGCTAAATAATGCTTGATAGTTTGTAGTTGTGCAACTTCATTAATCAATCACCTTGATAACTGTTATTATATAAATCCCCGATTGTGTTTGACTTCACTAGGTAAAAAGAAGCTGCGACTGCAGTTCGTTAGCGAATTGCACTTAAAGCAGTTACACGTAAATCGAGCAACTTTGGAGCAGGAAGGTTAGTGTGTGAGCGAGCAAATACAGAGGCAAATGTATAGTCAAATCGAATCAGGGCGCAGCTAGGCACGGCAAAGACTATTAACAGGATTCGAGCACATGCATTGGAAAGAGGATGATCCGTCAAGCTACATTTAAGATATTAATATTTAAGCTAGAGATATATTTGCGTAGGTTATCACATGTTACCAAGGGTGCACGTTTATACGGACATGATAGTGATCATAATGATACCAAGAAGTAAACGAACTGTTATCGTACGAACACCATATTCTGTTAAATAAGCAGATAAATGGGTCCGACAAAGGTTGACCATAATCGAAATTAACCGTAGGAGTGTTGCTACAGTCGAAAGACAAAGGCGTGATAAATAAGTAGATCAAATTCATACTAGTTCCTGCTGCAAGAGTTAAATGTGGCTAGAGCCCTCAGATAAGGGAATGCAGTAACAAAGAACGATGAATTGTGATATGTAACAGGGTGGAGTAAGCTCAAGTGATAGAAAGAATGTCAAAGTTAAAATAAAGAAAGCTGTTTATTTGAATCAAAAGTGCATCAAGAGAGTAAATTTTAAGAAACACCGATAACTATATATTTCATCGTTTGACTTTTCGAATTCTCTTTTCATCTGATGCCAGCCACTACATCCTAATGTAAAAGTACGAGTAAGCATGTTATTGTTTCTCTTGGTAGAATAGCTAATCCAACACAATGTTAGAAACTTGAGTCTGAATGATGAGTGTAGGAGAACAACCTCAATAACACTGATTGATTAACTCGCTCCCAATCATAAAGAGCCTGATACGAACAGAATGTTCTGCCCCACAAATAAGGGTGGGTTAAAGTTGTCGCCCTCATCATCAATACCTACTGGTCACCGGCCATTAAGCAAAAAGGTTTATTCTATGTGGTTGTCACGAAAAGACAAAAGAAGTTAGATATAAGCAGATTCATAGCCAACATTAGTGATCTGCATTGGTGAGCAAGACTTAAACAACCCAGCCCAATAAAGTTCGAAGGCAAAATGGTCTAACAAACCAAACGTCACAGCTCGATCTTCACTCAATAAATCCTATCTAGTAAAAACACTTAAAGTATGTGGAAACCATATGGAGGAGTTGCGTCAATGACGAAAACCAGATGGATGTTTGTGACTTAAATAAGTCTTTTGTGCATCGATCATCTGAAGTCATGCTTCGAGTATATCCAAGTTCGAAGAAGAGCCATGTGAAGGCCGAAATTCCCGATAAGATCGGGTCAAGTATCCAACCTTAGGTATTCCAGTAACCGTTCCCAGCACAGTCAAAGGTCGGCAGTCATCACTTAACCCACTCTGTACCTTGGGTTTGGCCGAACAAGACCTAAACAATGGCCCATCATCATACGACAGTGAAATTAAGTAATAAGGGTAAATCTTGAGCCAAAGTCAAATAATAGTAGTTTCAACAAAGAAGGCTGAAGGAAAGAAAAGAAAACCGAGTTTGGGATAAATTATAAGACAGGGAAAAAGAACAATGAATTAAAAATAATATTCAACAAAACACTTTATAGGTACTTTCAGCATGTTGTAACCGTTACAAGTTGTGTTACAATTTTCACTGAAGCTGACATACAAAAACGTATTTAGTCACTTAACTCATTCCAATGTTAAGAATCTGATGAAATCTTAGTCATGCTGTCTTCAAAAGTGTACTGACCCTGTATTATCCGATCTTGAGTACCTTTAACGAATCCTTATCAATCAAGCGCATACCGAAGATGTGAAGAAACATCAACATAATCTCAATACGAAAGTTGGTATCTGAAGATTAGCCTACGACTTATTCGAATAACTCAACGTTATACAAGATAAATTAAACAATTACAGAAAATTGTACAGTTCGGAAGTAATTTCTATCACCGAATGTCATCAGATGATTCAGCGAAAACCAAAGCAATAAGATCTTTTCCAGAGTCTTTCTAAAAATGCTCGAAAGCTATCTCGTTTCCTTAGTTATTATTCTAGAGACTAACTTTCAATCGCTGATACTATCATTGACTAAACTGTTTTACTCTTCAGTTAAAGAAATAACGTTACAGTTACGGCATATTTCCACTAAAAATAGAACTTCTCTACCACACAGAAGTATGTTTCAAAGTTAAAATAATTCGTATGTTCTGTGAAATAAAGTTCTGAAGTTTAAGAAAGTCCCTTCAGATTTTGGTTAAGTGATCAACATTTTATATGGCACTTCATTCCAACGTTACTCTAGCGCTAAGGTTAAAGGTTTGCGGTGTAACACCAACAACACTGTAGATCGGGACTACCATTGATTTGGAATTATTGGTTATTTGGTTGGATCAGTACATTTAGTCGGTTAGTCGCAGTTAGTTGGAAGTAGACTGAGCTGAGTATATACACTTATTTCATCGAGGGATTTAATCCAACGGCAATTCCAGCCAACTGATCGAGTTACTCGCTACACTTATACTAAATATTTGAATTCCAGAAATGAAATTCTCCCCAAGCAAGGAAGAAAACTGGAATTTTTCTAGTGTAGTGGAGGGGTTAAGAGATCTTTACGACAGAAGACTGAAGCCTTTGGAAGTGACATATTTGTTCCCACAGTTTCATTCACCAACACTTGATGCAGGGGAATTTAGTTCCAAACCAATGATTCTTCTTTTGGGTCAGTATTCTACAGGCAAGACCACGTTTATCAAATACCTTCTAGGATCCGCCTTCCCGGGTATGCATATTGGCCCAGAGCCGACAACCGACAGATTTAGTGTTGTTATGTCTGGGGATGAAGGCATTATTCCTGGGAATGCTCTTGTTGTCGACGCCCAAAAACCTTTTCGCCCTCTTTCAAAATTCGGAAATAATTTTCTGAACCGCTTTCAATGTTGCCAACTCCGGAATCCTGTCCTGGACAGCATAGTCATTATTGATACACCTGGTATATTAAGTGGTGAAAAACAGAGGTTAGATCGTGGTTATGACTTCACAGCTGTTGTTCAGTGGTTTGCAGAACATGTTGACAGAATAATCCTACTTTTCGACGCTTATAAACTTGATATATCAGACGAGTTTAGGCGAGTGATAGAATCTCTCAGAGGTTATGACGACAAAGTCCGTATTGTTCTTAATAAAGCTGATATGATTGATGCACAACAATTGATGCGCGTTTACGGAGCATTAATGTGGGGTCTTGGTAAAGTATTAGGGACTCCGGAGGTTGTTAGAGTATTTATCGGGTCATTTTGGGACCGACCACTGCGATATGACGTTAATCGTCACTTATTTGAGTTGGAGTCACAGGATTTATTTAAAGACCTTCGAAGTTTGCCTTCTAACGCGGCCATGCGAAAACTAAATGATATGATACGACGAGCAAGGCTAGCTAAAGTAAGTTTGATGTTCATTATTTTGTTGTATCAATCAGCTTTTGTTTATGTTGGTTTCCAAATGCGTTTTTGTTGTGGATGTTAGGGTGCTGCAATAAAATATAGATTTAGCGTTCGTTAGGTCATACATATTCATACATATTCTCTTGTTGGGTAATTGAACCCTACAATAGCAAGCACCTTTAAATCTACTTTAAGCAGAATTAAATGAATAGACGTCATTCTAAATCGGAATAAGTAACGCGCTATTTCTGATTCAAGTTCTTTCTTCCGTTTACTGGGCCACTAGAAACACAAGAAAACTGCAACAATTTCAAGGTTTCTATCCTTTACTTATCCATTATAAACTCTACGTTTTACTAGAAATTCAGGCAGTTGGTCCCAAGTCTTGATGATCTTTGACTTAACCAAATAGCACCCTGGTACTTCAGCTTTTATGCTGGTCAAGACAGTAGTGGTCTTTACCGCAATCAAGTTTAATATCGAATTAAAGTGTAACGTACCATCTCGGTTGTTTATAACAACTAATTTACACGACTTGTCATAAAAAGCAAGTAAACCTTAAAGTAATACTATATGTATTTCCTTATAATTGTGAAATATGGTTTTGAAGGTAAAAGAATTGGTTGGGTTGCTAGTATACGATATTAAGTATCCTCAAAGCGTTGCTTGTGTATGTTGAAATCATCATTTGTTCCGGTGTGGCGCATATATATCTGGTACCCCTTTGTACCAATATGTGTCCAAATAAATGAATCATGTTCCGAACCTTCACTAATGTGCTTGTAACACGTTTCATTCAAATACACTAACTCCGGTGCATTATACTGGTTCCCGTAGTAATAGATAAAAATATTGGTAAGGGCACCCAAACCATGGCAAAATAGACCTACTAAGTTCTGAAATTTTATTGGTTGCTGCACAGAAAGATGTACATATAACCACCCAGCTCAAAAAACGAAACTCCGCAAGTCTGTATTTGAAAACTTCAGGTTCCATATCTAAAATACTAATATCGCTGGCTTACATATGTCCATTTTTTATAACCTAGTTGCTTGACGTAGTATCAATTCTTACTTTTATCTACCTGTTCCATCAATTTATTGACTTTTTTTGGTTTTTTTTATAACTATTGGCTTTGTTACTTTCACTTTTTATTCGTGCTGATATACCTTCATTGACCTGATATAGATTTGTGCAATATAAACCAATGTAAACTATCAGGTTATAAACTTTCGATGTCTTCCCACCTCGTTGAAGGCATAAGCAGATTATGTTTAAAAACCTTACTTTCACTTGACTCATTTAGTGCAATTCAGAATCAGTCAAAGCAATCTACAAAGAAACTAGTGGGATATATTTTCGAAAAAGAGAGCATAGACACTAAACAAGACAAAATAAACTTTTAACAGAGTGAGATACGTAGATTAAATACTGAAAAATTACACAGAATATACTTTTATTAAGATAAATGATGTAACGAGACAGGTCTACATTCTTGTATTAATCTTTGAAAGCTACAGGTGTCTAACTTAAAGTATATGAAACCAGTTTCGAGTACAATTTAGCGGTTAGTTTCTTAAACTGTTAAGGTGTAACTTCGTGCTGTGTACTTTCGTATACAGGGTTTAATATTAGATAGTTTATAAGGTCCAAACCCCGTTTGGTCATTAGGGCTTGGTGAATAGGTCATTACTTTGGACCCTCGATTGGTAATTGTAATTAACAGCTCGTAGAGGAATATGTATGCGTTTACTGGTAAAAGTTGATTCTGCATACGACTAAACTGAACTGTAGAGAATGTCTACCTTCATATATTTTACTAACGACGAGTAACTATCCTTCTGATCTTACCTAGGTACATGCCTACATAATTGGTCATCTTAAGAAACAGATGCCTTCAATCGTTGGGAAAAACAAAAAGAAGCAAGAACTTATTAACAATTTACAGCAGATATATGATTCTATTTCACGTTTACACCATGTATCTCCTGGTGACTTCCCTAAACTCTGTCATATGCAGAGTATTTTGAGTGAACAGGATTTTACAAACTTCCCCTCTATTAAAGAAAGGCTTATTGAACAAGTCGACGTTATGTTAACTCAGGAGATCCCCAAATTAATGCAGATGATACCAATTGTAAGTTTACTGTACATTAGTCAACATGCATTACTTTACTTCTATTTTACGATTTTTCAGAGATGGTTTCTGTGTATAAAAGCTGTTATGGTCAAACAAAGTTTCAAGCACACTCCTTAAATACATAGTTTTACCTTACTAAGTTTATATTGAGCGTACTGCCTAAGCCGTACAAAAGCTTTCATCTTTTAACAGCATTAAATTTGATGTCTTTTTTTTACTAAATAAGCAACAAAAATTCACACATTATCACAGCGCATCGCTAAAAGTTACCGTTAGAAATTTACGGTTGACTTTATTTAACAATTCAAAACATGTTTCAAACGGGTGCTGTTTTGAAGACTTATGTTTGTTCATGATCATCATTTATGCAGCTTTTAGAACTATGTCAAGATAGTTTAACCTAGTTCGTTCGGTTTAATAGCAACAAAAAATATCCGACTTCGGATATCTGAACCCGAACTCCATACTTTTTATCTATCAGCAAAGTGTGCTTGCAATCCTGAGGAAACCAATGCTCATGATCGCTTTAGTTTTCAACTGTTGAATGATTTAAAATGATTCCCAATATATGACTAGACAAGTATCAAGGAGAAACCAAGTAAAATCGTAAATATGTTAAAATAAATGCTATCCGCCATATAACTAAAACTGTAGCATACGCATTTCATTTATGGAAAAATGTAACCAGTAAACGGTTTATCATACACTAGGAAAATGAAGTGAATGGTTAACATCTGATAAGATAACACCCTCCGGTATCTTGCAAGATTTTAAACATCTGTCCACAAACATATTAATAATAACTTCGCATAATTAACCACACCCTAGTAACTGCCTTCATCACTCTCCGCAATACAGCGAAATCTTACCTCAAGATATTTCAAGACCTTGCTTTATCTCTTGTGTGTGTTGTGACTGCCACCATACTGACTGTCTTCACCTGAATTTGTTGGTGTATATGGGATAGAAGATCTAGATCTTCTGAGAAGTCCAAATGGTCTAGTTGCATCCAACCTGTTCATTGTATTCGATGCTTCACCTCTGATGTAGAGGTCTTCATAAACCAGAAGAGAAAGGGGGAGACAGAACAGCCCTGTCTGATACCAGTCATAGATATAGATAATTGTACCGCCTCCTAATCCATAACATCTATCGATTCTAAAGAAAACTTAGTTATCTAAATTCAAGGAGTGATCGGACATAGATGAACTGCACCACGTTTCCGTAATAAGTACAATGGTTGGGTTTACAAGGAATAAAAGATTTGTAAGATGAATAATTTTATTGGACGGAGAGCGGGCAATGAGCGAAAGAATAAGAAACTCAGAGTTATCAAGGTGAAGCAGGTTAGGGTATAAACCGCAATTGGTAGTTCCATGAATACTCGTAAGATTGGCTAAGGTAAGAGTTGTGTTGCGAGGTGAAATAAATCCAACCACTTTTTCATCATTTGGACTATGTTTACCACTGCCGGCAGAAAAGCCGGCGGAGTTACAAATACGTCTTCTCATTGCTACTGGATATAACATCTGATAAAGGCATAGTGTACATATTGGGAGCCGGACCAAGAAGGCTATCAGGTCTATGTGTGCGACCAAATGGCCATTTACAATTCAGATTACTATTTATACCTGACGTATGGGTAACATGTTCCAGACGTTTATTTCCAAGGTTTGTGGTTAATTCCGACTTCTTCATAATTTGGGGAGAATCGTGTGCTGTTAAACATACTTGCGATGGTTTGCGAGGTTCGAATATATCAACGTTCAGTGTGTGGTCATTTATATCAATATTATAATTAGTTTTCCCGTCATCTGTTGCACAGTTACTGTAACTGGGTGTTGCACTAACAGGGATTTGAACTGTGTTATCCCATTCGTCATCAGCACAACTACTTCAGTCTGAATCTAAGTCAACATTCTTAAGAGGATGGACACCACCTACATCGGGAATACTTTCTTCTGGGTTTTGAACTTTATGAGATTCAGAAAAGTTTTTCGGTGGCGGCATACTTGTAAAACTAGACGTCTTCTTAGGATCGGACTTAATTTTACGACCATTAGGATTATGATGTGTTTGGGAGTTTGACTCAGGTAGTCTGTAGCTACCTCTTCCTGTTTTTCGCTGGCACGGTGTTCTATCTAGAAGATACCTAATGTCCTTGAAAATCTGCTTTTCTCCCAATGAATTGGAGAAAGTTGAAAACTCACTGGCGTCTACAGATGAGTTGAATTCGAACAAGATCGGTGAGTGTATACCAGGATGACTTCTTTTTAATCTTGTGCATACACATCTACGTGTGTCATATTGCTGGCTCTAAGCAGACTAGATTTGATATTTTTAAGGGCATACGTGTGCCGTTTATTAAACACAATTGCATTGCTTGATCGACTTATTCTCTCAAGTACCTCTGATGCAGCACGATCAAAGAAATTATTTGTGTCATTCATTTGATGTGGAGTCTCTGAGAGGTTGGGGTTCATGAGATATTTAAGCGGATTGAGAATGTGTATGTCTACTTGCAACTTATTTATATCATCCCTATGGTTGCAGTTGAGATTATCATCAATGTTTACCAACAGAGTTCTCACCATGTCTGGAGTGGAGACAACCGGTAAAACCTTGTCTGTGTGGTGGTTCCCAAACAAAAGGAGCTTATACAAAATATATCGTCACACTAGGTTATTAATGATATTGATGATGTCACAGGTATTCAGTGTTTGACAACGCTTCTACCAGTAACACCTCCTAATGTATTTCGTTCCCATCCAGAGAAATCAAAAGACAGAGTCGAGGAGATCGGAAGAGTATATTTGGCGATTACCAATGTATCGGAATTCTCTGATCTAATCTGGCTAGCGATTGCGGTTGATGTTGAGCACGGCGTTACCACATGTGATCTGGTGCGGATGCCTGACCGAGCGCCTTCAGCTAGATGAGTCCACTAAAACATATGGTCAGCATCCAATGTCGAAGAACTTAGAGCTATTTATTTTGTGGATTTATTTACCGCTACAGATCACTCCCCCCTAGTGGGGCAGTGACGACCCTAAGACGTGGCCAGCCAGAAGTTTAAACCCATCGAGTTTGTCGTTGGTAAACACTTTTCTGATAGCTTACTAAGTTTAGCAGCGTCTGGTCGTCTTTCCTTACTATATGGGACCGAGGTACAACATAGTAAAAAAAGAGTTACAACGAAATTTTTGACTCCTCGTAAACTGCATCGTTCTCTTCCAGTCGTCCTGGAAAAGAAAAAAGAAAGTGTAAGTGCATGTCGAAATACACTCGTATGTGCGTAAAAACACAATGTCGGCGAAGAAATGAAAAATATACTCAAGCACACGTACTAACGTTAAAAAAATGTTTTTTATGTTTTGCTTTGTTTTTTTTTAAAATAAAAATATAAATATATAGGCATAATAAAATTGTCTTTTTTTAAAAAAAATTATATATCGTTAAAAAGAAAGATCGAGATAATATAAAATATCGAGTAGTGCCTTACGTGCAGTAGTCGTTTAAATGTTCTGGAAATCTTACTCTTCTTCCAGAACGCGTCGTTTTACGTTTGTTTTCAGATACATTCGGAGTATCATCGCTAGTGTTGGTTGTCGGTTGAGGAACTATGAGTGTAGGAGTCGCGTTGTGCGATTGTACCGAAGGAAAATCGACGTGAATGGGATTTCCTTCTAAATACGCTGCTTTTAAGCGATCGATGCAGATGCTATCGTTGGTTCCGTTCTTATCGACTATATAGTACGTGGATTCACGCTGAAGAACGTTGAAGGGTCCTCCGTATGCTGATTCGAATGGTCGTCGATGCGAGTCTCGACGAACGAAAACGTGTGTACTATATCGTAAGTCAGGTTGAACGAAAACATCAGTTGATTGAGGTCGAGTGGAAGCAGGTTTAAATGAACGCATTGCGTTTGTAAGCCTGTTCGTGTAGGAGGTTAGATCCATGTTCATTGAAAAGGATGAAGGATCCACGAATTCTCCTGGAAGTCGAAGTGTCGTTCCATAAACGAGTTGAGCCGCAGTGTATCCAATGTCAGCTTTCACTGCATTGCGGATACCTAATAAGACGAGTGGAAGAGCGCCGGTCCACTGTGAAACGTTTGCAGCTGATAGTGAAGCTTTTAGTTGTCGGTGAGAACGTTCTACTAACCCGTTTGCTTGTGGATGGTAGGCGGTCGTTCGGAAGCGAGTGATTCCTAGAAGTGTGGTCAGACGACGGAAAAGTTCAGATTCGAACTGACGTCCGCGGTCTGTGGTGATGGTTGGAGGGCAACCGAAGTTTGCTACCCATCGCTCGACGAAGGCGCGAGCCACTGTTTCAGCAGTGATGTCCTTGATAGGTACTGCTTCTGGCCATCGAGTGAAACGGTCTACGCAGGTTAAGAGGTAAGCGTATCCATTTGAATGTGGTAAAGGTCCTACCAAATCCAGATGAACATGGTCGAAACGAGCATTGGGAGTTTTAAACGAGCCTAAGGGACATTTATTGTGTCTGATTTTTGGCAGCTTACACAGGAGCGTGCCCACTCCCTCACGTCTTTATTCATTCCAGGCCAGCAAAACCGTTCTGCTATAAGCTTGATGGTTGCACGGAGACCTGGATGAGAAAGTTTGTGCAATGTATTGAAGACGTTGCTTCGATAATGTTTCGGCACGATTGGGCGATCCCTACCTGTAGATGTGTCACAAAGTAAGGTTTCCTTACCTGTTCCCATCTGTTTGATGCGTAGTTTAAGTGTTGTGGACGATAACTCGTGCTGAAGATCAGTGTCTTCTTTTTGAAGCTCGGTGAGTTTAAGAAGGTCGATTCCTTGGAAACTGTTCAAGGAAGTTATGCGAGATAAGGCGTCTGCAACTACATTGTTTGCTCCAGAGATGTGTTGAATGTCTGAAGTAAACTGCGAAATGTAGTCCAGTAGTCGAGACTCACGGGGAGAGTACTTGTCAGAAGGAGAGCTTAACGAGAAAGTGAGCGGTTTATGGTCCGTGAAAAGAGTGAATTCACGGCCTTCGATATAGTGTTGGAAATGCCGTACAGCACAATACATAGCTAGGAGTTCCCTACCGAATGTGCTGTACCTTGATTTGGTGTCTAGCAACCT